GCTCCTTCAAGTAAGTCATTGCAGTGTTTATCAACAAAGCTTATTAGCCAAAAATCCTAGTGAAAGAGTCCATAAATCAATGAATGTGGCCGTCAATACTGAGAGATTTCTTGAACAGATACAAAAGGCATTCACCAAAAAGGAAAAAATTGATAAATTGGATCTAATTATAATTAAGGACTTCAGCAAAAGGCACCACTAAAAAAGAAAAAAAAAAGCCACAGACTGGAAGATGTTACTGAATGCAAGTTCACAAGTTTGTGTGCCCAGCACACAATGAGGCCAAACAAATCCAAAATGTCAGAGTTTGGAGCAGAGAAAGTTTTATCGCAGGGCCGTGCAAGAAAAATACGTGGCTCATGCTCATAACCCCCTAGACTCCCTTGGTTTGGGGGGAAAAGCTTATATAGGCAAAACTTGGAGTGAGGGCTGCTGGGTGTGAGACTTTCTTCTGATTGGTTGGTAATGAGGTAACAGGGTGGTGCTCTGGTAATCTGGTACTCTCCCTGAAGTTGCCAACCTCTACTGGGTGGGGATTTTGGTTTGGGTAGAACTCAAAGATACTGTTACCTCTATCTCTTGAGGAGGCACCAGGGTCGAGACTATAATTTTCTGATTGTTCCTCCTTTGTTTCTATATTCCCTTACTTCCCTGGTTAGCAACTGTTTGAATCTGCTCTTTGGTATTCAGGAAGGTCTAGGAGACAGAAGCCCTTTTCCTGCAAATAAGAAAACAGGGGACACAGAAAGGCTTTTGTGTGCCCGAGGGCCCCACAACAGTCCTGCTTGCTTTCAAGATATTCATAATATCTTATATCTGACAGAAGACTTTTATCCAGAATATATTTAAAAACCCTTACAAATCAATAATGAATAAACAACAATTCAGTTGTTTAAAAAAGGCAAAGACTTGAATAGACACTTCGTGCTCAAGACAGCCTGCTTTATCTTCCACAGAAGAGAAGGAGATTAAGGTACACATCTTCTAGGTTGAAAAAAAAGTGAAAGTATTAATTGCTCAGTCATGTCTAATCCTTAGTGACCCCGTGGACTGCAGCCCACCAGGCTCCTCTGTCCCTGGGATTTTCCAGGCAAGAACACTGGAGTGGGTTGCCATTCTGTTCTCCAGGGTATCTTCCCAATCCAGGGATTGAGCCCTGTCTCCTGCATTGCAGGCAGGTTCTTACCATTTGAGCCACCAGGGAATCCAGGTTGAAAGTTTTTGGTAAATCACATTTTTTTATTCCCTGGCATCTTATTTATAGAGCACATGCTATTGACTTCTTTTTCTTCCTTTTTAATATTAAAAAATTGTTCTGCTTTATCCTCTATTATTCTTATTTCCCTGCACTTTTATCAAATACCTTTATTTTACCCCATTTTCTTTTCCCTTCCTATGCCAGATCTCTATGTTTTCCATATGCATCCTGGCCTAAGTGTCTTAGACATTGAAAGTACTAAATATCCTTTTCTTTGGACCATTTAGAGACATCCTATGAAGGGCACTGCAGGAAAATATTCAGTGGTGCTGCTAACAGCAAAGCTGCAAGATGACTAATGTCCGTGTGTTGCAAGTAAAAGGTTCTCCCTGTTATTTGTCTTGTTTTTGGTTGTTGAATGTAGGTAATACACCTTATAATTCAGCAAACCCAGATTGAATGAGTGCAACTAATGCCAGGTAAATTTAAACATCAACTTCTGAGGTAAGGAAGAGAAGGAAGTAAATGAAAACGGGGGTATCGACTCTTAAATTTGACACCCTAGGGAGGCAGTTTGCATAGTGGTTAAGAACACAGACCAGATTTGCCTGGATTTGAATGTAACTTCCCTTACTGACTACGTGACTCTGGGCACATTTCTTATCTTTTCTTTGCCTCAGCTTCCTCATCTGTAAAGCTGGAGGACAGTTTGACCTCATGGGGTTATTACAATAATTAATTTAGTTTATTCAAAGTACTTAGAACATTGCTTGGCAATAGTAAACACCACATAAATGTCAGTTACTATCACTCAAAATTATAATAACGAATAGATGAAGGCCCCAGAAACATTTTTAGTTTTTAGAAGTCTGAGGTGGTTTTTTTTTTTTTTTTTTGTAGTGTTTCTGATTTTTAAAAGATCACCAGTGGGGCTTGGATTACTCCAAGAAAAAAAAAAGTGTGGCTTAATACACTGATAAATGAGTTTTTAAGAAAGAAACCACTTTGTATGACCCAGTACAAGGAGTAAAGTTGACTCACAGGAGATGTCTGGCTGACATGAAAACCATTAAAGAAAATCCTGAGCACAATGTTGACCTCAACTTGGGAACACATGCTTTACATTATCATCCTATCACTTCTTGAGCTCCTGGCATGTGTCGCTGAAACAGACAGACTTGGTTTCTTTTTTTTTCAAGTAGTCATTCTCTGTTATTGCTTTTGACTTAGATAAATGACCTTCTAACCAACTATTGGGAAACCTTTTGTAGACCTTATTTGTGATGGTTATTTAAAGTGATAGCTGCGAAAAACTGTCAAAATATCTCTTAACAGTGTGCTTTTCCAAAAGAAAGGCCAATTTCTTTGAAAGTAATAATGAAAGGATAATAGAATCCCAGATATAAGAAGGAATAAGGTCTGTGAGCTCATGGATGGCATTCATCTGCCAAGACAGGAAAGTCTGTCTCAGGAGCTAACCGGTTTTGCTTGCTTCATACTGCTGAGTACACTTGAGTAGCTGCAACGGGAGCAAAGTACACTGGGCAGTGCCCCAGCAAATGACTTTTCTCGCCAGGAAAGACTAGCGCAATTCTGCCTCTACAGTAAAGTTTGATTCACAGCTGTATGAGTCTGGCTTTTCACTGAAGATGTGACTACCTTGAATGGCCTGAATGTTCATTATATTCAATATATGTACTACTATTAATAGGGCTTCACCGGTGGTTCAGCGGTACAGAATCGGCCTGCAGTGGTGGAGACACAGGAGACGTGGGTTCCATGCCCTGGGCTGGGAAGATCCCCTGGAGGAGAGCATGGCTACCCACTCCAGTATTCTTGCCTGAAGAATCCCATGGACAGGGGAGCCTGGCAGACTACAGTCCACAGCATCACAAAGAGTTGGAGATGACTGAGCATGCGTGAACGCACGCACTACTTTTAATAATATTTCTGAATATTTTATCTTATAACAACTAATTTTATTGTCTAAACACATGAATTATGGCAGCTTATGGCTAATTCATAGATTAATGAAACATACAAAAATAAAGTGCACATCTGCCTTTTGAACTGAGAGCACATTTAAGAGGATTGTAGCCTTAATTACAAGAGTCAGAACTTCAGAATTTGAAGTGGCATGATCTGGTGGAGCAAATACAGGCTTAGGAGTCAGACTGATGAGCTTTGAATCCCACCTTGTTTATTTCCTAGTCATCTGTGTCTACCCAAATTATTTAATCCCTCCAAGCCTATTGCTTCATCTGGAAAGTAGAGGCAATATTCACTCTCAAAGCTTTCAATAATTCAATTAGATATATATGTGAAAGAGTGCCTACCTTACACACAGACAGAGAATTTTTTGTCTCTGCAACATTCTTTTCAACTCCCCACTCCTTTCCAGTGGAAAAAACTAGAACATTAACACTTCTCAGAATATTGTTTTCAGTAAAAGAAAATTTCACGTGTAAAATGATTACCAAGAAAATATTTTATAGGCAGTGAAGGGTTCAGTCATCATCTTGATTATTAATCCTACGCTAACTAAATCTCAAAGTACAAAGTGCTCAGTTGCTTCAGTCGTGTCTGACTCTTTGTGACTGTGTGGACTCTGGCCCTCCAGGCTCCTCTGTCCACGGGATTGTCCAGGCAAGAATACTGGAGTGGGTTGCAATGCCCTTCATAAGTATTATAATGAAAACACCATTTGTATAAACATCAGAAACACAGGGCCCTGAAAAATTTCTCCATAAAGTATATTTGTACTCAGGTCACCAAAATGTTGTGTAGAGGAACCCATTACATTGTAAAAGGACATTCTGCGTCGGGGTTTCCAGGACTCGAAGCCTAGGGAAGCCTCCAGGAAGGAAACCTTATTTGGGAACAGAGGTTTGAGCCAGATTAATTTCAGGTTAATTCTAGATAGTCGTCCCACACCATCTCCAGACACCAAGTGGGATCTTAAGATAGAAAATAGATCGGAGCGGGTGATGTAGGTAAGCACGAAGATGACAGGTAATCACCAAGGGAGATTCCTGTGTGGAAACAGGAAAGAACAAGCGGTAGAAACGGATTAGTCCTTCGGAGGCCCCGCATTCTTCCCCCTACCTCCAGGTTCCCATCACATTCATCAGAACTCCATGCCCACGAGGAGGATGAGCTTGGAAGAGGCACAAGGATCGCCCTCCCACCCTGCCCAAGGGGTCCCTCTCAGTGTGGCCTCCAGCGCGCCTGCGACAGCGCGGCACCCGAAGGTCACCACGAAAAGCTCATCTCTGTACCTAAAATGCATCAGGATCGAAGACTCAGAGCGCAGGACGTATATTCACAATGCAGTCAGTAACAGCCATTAATCCTGGGCCCTGGGCGTCTGTCTAGGATTTGAGAACACTCTTCAGAAACCAGTCACGGTAAGGAGGGTGGGGTGGGGGGCGCGTCAGAGGCTCTCTGGTGGAGGCATAGTTTTCTCAGTCCTGGGCGCGCGGGGACAAGTTTGGGGCTCTTCTAAATCGGCTCCCGTTCCCCAGCCATATTTGCCTCTGTCAGCTCATCTCTAAAGATAATGTTGAAGTGGTGGGGGGGCACAATTTTAAAGATACAGCACCCCAGGACCCCTGAGCGTACAATGAAACCGGCCAAACTCGCGCATCCCTCAGTTATCAGGACACACAAGCAGGGCTTTGCAAATGAAAAACCCTCCCACGCGCAGGCGCGCACCGCCCCCCGGCCGCCACGCCACGCCTCTGGCCCCGCCCTCACCACCATAGCCCCGCCCCCAGCTCGTCCCGCCCCGCACGCTGGTCTTCCGTATCTTCCGTTCAGGCTGGCTTCTCCTCGTCCTGCGCTGCGCCCTCCCAGCCTGGGGCGTCGCGGTACCCGCCTCCGCGCTGCGCACTGACCCTCCACACCCCCGCCGCACCTACTCCGGCGCTCGGGCGCGGGCGGGAGGCGGAGCGGAGGGGTCGGGGGCGGTGTCGCCTCAGCCCAGGAGCTGCAGGCGGCGGGGGCGTCGGCGCTGGAGGTCCCCGAGATATGGCCGCTTCGGTATTCTGCTGCCTGCGGTGCTGCAGAGATGGCGGGACGGGCCACATCCCTCTGAAGGAGATGCCGGCCGTGCAGCTGGACACGCAGCACATGGGTAAGGTCCCTCCCTTCCCCAGACCCAACGGCCCACCCCGGGTCGGGCGCGGCGGGTCGGGGGGCAGTCGGGGGCGTCTCGAGAAGCCCCGCACGCGGCCGGGCCCCGCCGGGCTCCGGGCGTCGTCCCCTGCCCCTCGCCCTGCGATGCTGCGGAAGACCCGGGTCGGCGTCGCGGATCTCCTCCGGACTCCGGCCGACCGCACCTTGGCTTGGTTCTGTGTTCAAGCAGCCCGGTCCGCTCCTGTCTCGGGGAGATACAGGCGTGTGGACCTTCCCGTTCCCACAGGAATCTCCTCGGGGCCGCCGCCTCCCGAGACTCGTCAGACGTCCCCGGCGAGGGGCGCAGGGGCGACTCGGTGCTCCTCCTATCTCGCCGTCGAGCTTCCGTCACATACGCACGGGTTGAGAACACTTAGCTGTCCTCGCTCCTTCCTCTGCCCTGACAGCTTTCTATTAGCCCGTCAATAATCGGTTGTTTTCTCTCATCTCCGAAAGTGAAGACAAGTTGCAAAAGCCTAAAGTCACAGCTTAGCTCAGGACATGTCATTTCAACAGAAACCTCCCCTTGTGCGGCTTCTCCTGAGTCATGCTTAGAGGTGGTGTAATTTCACCTGGCTGGCTTCTTCCTAGCAGGTCAGGCTATTGCAGAAGTAGCGTGTTGCTTCTTCCCATCTGTGGTTTTTCCTTTCTACTTCAAATGAGCCTGTAGCTTCTCTAACATTCTCCTCCTTCCCTCTATAGCCTCTCGCCACCTTATTATTTCCTTCTTAGACTTGTCCCGTGTAGTTCCATGCTTCTGGAGTGTGGTTCTAGGAGACGACATTTCCCACTGTAATTATTTCAGAGTACTGTCTTTTTGCCAAATTGTTCTCTTCTAAATATACATCTGCACTTTTAGTTTTTCCCATATCTCTCTTTGACTAAAGGACAGTGCATTGAAATAACAAAGGGAATGCTTAAATATTTGTAGCAAAACCCTCTCCTGCCCAGATTCTTTATACTCTGAAAACACTCTGCTCATTGTATTTTTCTGTTTTTCACATTTCTATAGCATGTACTAAATAACAAATCCGATAATTGTTTACCACTTTGTATGTGGGTTTTTACTTTTCATTCTTAGATCTCCCAAGTGTAATATAGAACCCCAATACATAAATATGTAAGTAAGTGTACGTATATCTCCTTGAATTATTTCTTATTCATCATCACTTATAGACAGATGTTCAAATTCTGTGACTTCCCTCAGGAAATGTTTCCATTTCATGTATTCACTCACTCAGCTGATATTTATTGAGTGACTGTCAGATGGCAGGCATTGTTTTATATGCTAGGAACATAGTAAAGGAAAACCACAGATAGCTTCTGGAGGTTATGATCAGCTTTAGTTCTTTCTATCTCTACTGTCAAACTCCTGAATTACTACAATCTACTCTTTAAATTATTTGTTTTCTCTGGTCTCTTCTCCATGGAGAGCTGGTTACTGGTACTTGTTCCACTATGTTCTCCTTTTTCCAAAGCTGCCCCGCATCTTTCAGTAGAGTAATATCATCCCCTGATTTTCTTCCTGTGTGGAAACTTTTTCTTAACCTGTCTTCCAAAAACTTCAAATTCTTCAATCACAGGAAAAGTCTGATTTTAGAAAACAAATAATATAAAAGGAGAGGCTTATCAAGTTAGGAATAGGTTTCAAGCATGAACTGATCTTAAGTTGAAATAGGAGAAGCCCACCGAGTGAGTATGCATGTATTTGGATATGTGAAAGGTTAATATGATTGCCTTTTTTTTTTAAGTCTATGCATTTTATATGCAAATGAGTGTTGCCTCTTTCAAAGCTGTCGCTTATATTGGTAATGCTACATCACCTAAAGTGATTTAGAGTTCCTCTTGGGATTTTCTGTTGTGTAGTTGTTATAAATATCTTCTTTTTTACCACAACCTCCATATTTAATTGTGATTTGGTTTTTAGAAATATAGAACTTCCCTGGTGGCTCAGGTGGTAAAGAATCTACCTGCAGTGTGGGAGACCTGTGTTCGATGCCTGGGTCAGGAAGATCCCCTGGAGAAGGAAATGGCAGCCCACTCCAGTATTCTTGCCCGGAGAATCCTATGGACAGAGGAGCCTTGTGAGCTACAGTCTGTGGGGTTACAAAGAGTTGGACACGACTGAGTGACTAATACTTTTTAGAAATGAATGTCTTCCAAGGTAGCTTCCTTGAAAGGGATGTTATTCATTTAGAATTGTCTAATGCTTTTTAAAAAAAACTCTTTGGCTATGTTTATATATTTTCTGACTGTACTCAAATTTGCCTTGACTTTCTAAACAATCTTGATAATAAAACTATACAAATCACACACATCCAAATGTCTTTGTACTTAAAAAAAGAGAAATAGAATAGGCTTGAAATAATTCCTTAATGATTCACAAACACTCTAGAATGTTCTCTGAATATATCCATCTTTCTATATAAAACATCTCAGCACCTAGCAGAATGCCTTGGAGATAAGAAATGATATTGAAGTAAGATCATAATAGCATATTCAGATTTGGTTCTTTGGCTCCAACTCAGAATTACATGTAAGAACCATAGAGTATTGCTGGGTGAAATGTTTTTTCACTTAGGGTGCTTTCAGTTACAAGCAGTAAAACCTACAACTCAAAAATTGTTGAAGAATTAAGGAAATTCATCAGTTTGTGTAAATTTAAAAAGTAAAACGCAGCACTAGCTTCAGAAAAGATAGTGCTGCCAGCGACTGGGCTCCTTTTGTCCGTGTCTCCCATCAGCTGTTGCTTACTCGTGGAGGCTGGCGTCCATGACGACTTGCAGCCTCTCCCTGTACTATGGGCTTCCTCGTTGGAATCCAGCAAGAGCGAGAGAATCTTGATCCCTTCATTCTCGCTGCAAAAGTGCTGAGACTCTCTCTGATGGTAGTGGCTTAGGTCACATAACTGTTTTCACTTGGTCGCTGTGGCCAAGAAATGTGGAATGCACTGATTGACTTAACCCAGGTCAAAGCTGTACCCCTGGAGCCAGAGATTGAGTCAGCTTCCTTGGAACTGTTTTGATCTCCAGAGAGAAGTTCGTTGGGAAAGAGAAAACAGATGCTCCATGTCCATGACAAAGTACTTAGCAGAGCATATTCATTCATTTCCGTATCAGTTATTTGTCGAGCGCCTGCTGCATGCCAAGCTCTCCATGGTCTTTGCCATTAAGGATGAGCTGAGCCCTGGTTGCTCTCCAGCGACTGCTGGAGATCTGTGAGGCAGCTAGATGTAAATTACGAATTAAGACACTTTCCCAGAATTTGCAGTTTAGCATTTTGTAATTAGGAAAAAAAGGATGCTAATGAATTTTTAATAATCTTATAATAGGATCCTATGGGCTTCCCCGATGGCTCAATGGGTAAAGAATCCAATTACAATGCAGGAAACACAGGACAAGCAGGTTCAATCCCTGGGTTGGGAAGATCCCCTGGAGAAGGAAATAGCCACCCATTCCACTGTTCTTCTTTGGGAAATTACATGGACAGAGGAGCTTGGTGGGCTACAGTCCCTGGGACTGAGCACGCACATAGTACAATATGAAGGATCTTAGTTTTACCTTCTATAAGAGTGTCTTTAATTAGCCCATTTAGAATTGTGGTGAAGTCTTGAGAATTTGGTATTTCTCATATGTATTTGTCCCAAATAATTTTTTGTTTAAGTATGAATTATTAAGAGACCTGCCTTTCTGTTAGTACATTTGTTACTATTTTCTAGTTTTATTTTACCCCCTCTGGAAAGAGGAGTTCTTCCCTACAGTTCTCATAGCCAGGTCTGCTTGGTTTGTAAACTTACTAGCAGAAAAGTTATACTGATTACAGATCTTGGGAGTCTGTCACAGGATAGTTACGGGATATTTCTTACAGATAATCATTTTGTTAAATTTCTTGATGTTCTCTGATATGCTTTCCTAAATCAGTGTTTGGAAAAGAATTGGTATTGGAGTCACATGATCAAGAGATTGTTTTTCTCACTCTCATATATCAAATGTTATTTGAACTAAACTAAGATTTTCCATGAGAATAAAATGAATTTAGTGATGTTGAAACCTTGTTTACATCTTTCCAATGTGATTAACAGCAGCTATCTTACAGATATTTTTAAGATCCTAAAATTGGCATTTTTCCATGTCCGCTATTTCAAGAACATAGATCTATGTTCCTTTCCACGGTTCATTACTCTTCAGTTCTTACTTGTTGACCAGTGCACTTGCCTAAGACCTTGTACATACATTCATTCAGCTTTTACCAGGTTGTTTTGTTTGGATTGGACTGAAAATTGTACTAATTTCCCAGCTTCTTTTAAGTGTTTATGTTTTTATTAAATTGAGATTTATGAAGTCATCAAATTGATTCACTGGCTAAAATGGAAGAAAGTCTACTTCCAGGAGTTCCCTGGTGGCCTAGTGGTTAGGATTGTGGGCTTTCACTGAGGTGGACCCAGGGTTCAGGGAACCAAGATCCCACAAGCCACACAGCACAGCCAAAAACAAAAAGAAAGTCTACTTCTACCTTAAAAGTGTTTAAAATATTCAGTATGTATATAAAAAAAATTCAGTATAATTCAAAATTACTGTTTATTTGAAACTGTCTAATTAAACAAAATTTCTAGCCACAAATTAATATTAAATATAAATGTTCTCCCAGAAAAAAGTGAATTAAATATTTTAAATAATTTATCATTATTTCATATTTCGAAGTATATATAGTCTCCCTATTTTTTGGAGATTAAGAGTTTAAAGTGAAATAGAAATTAACCTTGAGGGACTTCCTTAGTAGTCCAGGGGTTCGAAGCCCACCTGGCAATGCAGGGGACACAGGTTCCATCCCTGGTCAGGGAACTAAGATCCCACATGCCTTGGAGCAACTAAGCCTGTGGGCTGCAACTCGAGAGTCTGTGGGCTGCAGTGAAAGATCCCTCGTGACGCGGTGAAGATCCGTTGTACCACAACCAAGACTCAACACAGCCAAATAAGTAAACAATAAATCAATAAATATTTTTTAAAAATTAACCTTGATTGTTGGGTAAGAACACAAAACTTTACACAGTGTCTGTATTTTTTGTTCAGGAACTGACGTCGTCATTGTAAAAAATGGAAGACGAATATGTGGAACAGGAGGTTGTTTAGCCAGTGCACCTTTACATCAAAACAAAAGCTACTTCGAATTCAAAATCCAGTCCACAGGTTGGTATAATGGTACTTGACTGTTAATACCCTGAATGTGAGGAGGAATCTTCAAGATATGGAAAAGGTTAATGAGGTAATTAAAAAAAAACACTGAACTCTTACTTAAAGAACTTTTTCACTCACATCTTCTTGTGAGATCCTGGTTTCATTAGTTAATTTAGTTATATTAAGTTCAGTTTTCTTATCTATAAAATGGATTACAGGAGCCACCCTTCCCACTTCACAGGAGCTGTATGTATGAAAGTGTTTTAACAACAGGATGTAGTGGTTCCGTTAAACACACAAGCCTTGTTACTAATATGGTTAATGATTAGCAGGAGCCAGATGAACCCGGAGAAGGAAATGGCAACCCACTCCAGTACTCTTGGCCTGGAAAATCCCATGGACGGAGGAGCCTGGTAGGCTGCAGTCCATGGAATCACGAAGAGTCAGACGACTGAGCGACTTCACTTTCACTTTCATGCACTGGAGGAGGCAATGGCAACCCGCTCCAGTGTTCTTGCCTGGAGAATCCCAGGGTCGGGGGAGCCTGGTGGGCTGCCGTCTATGGGGTCGCACAGAGTCGGACACGACTGATGCGACTTAGCAGCAGCAGATGAACCATTTCATTTGGTCACGCGTGTAAGGTGTAGTCTCTTGCTTTTTTATCTTAGGATAAAATTGATCTTATGATCCTGAGTTTTTCTCTTAACGCTTGTTAAGATTCCCTGATACAGTGTCTTCTGAAGTGATTGGCAGATTTAGAATTTTGGTAAAGGCTAAAGTCTCTAAAATTTTTTGAATATGTACACCTGAAACTAACACAATACTGTAAATGAACTATGCTTCAATTAAAATTTAAAAGAATTTTTTAAATTATGAAGTTTCTTGACTTGTATCGCAGTTCTACATGAGTATTATAATGGTTACTATTAGTTAACTTGTGGCAGTTTTGAACAGGGGGAAATTTTTTTTAAGACTTTCTTAGAAAGAAACTTGTAGTAAATTATGGCGTGAGTGATATAGGTCCAGAACAGGGAAACTAGAGAGGAGTAAATTAATTCTGCTCTTACATAAAAGACATAAAATATCCCTCTGGGACTTGTTTTTTAAATTGTTTTAAATATTGATTTTTCTTAAGTGTGTAAAATAAATATAAATCTATCCTCTATTCCATTATTTTGTAAGTTAACTCACTGGCTGCGAAATGTCTCTGGTTACTATAATTTTCTCAAGTATAACATACCTTTTCTCAAGAGAAATGAATATTTCCTTGAGTCTTAAGTGTAATACAGATTTTTTGGTGGATTTTCTGTAAAGGATGCTATCCTCAAAGATATTTCTAGAATAAGTGTATTGTTGGAGTTTGTAGCAATGATCCTTCAATGAAAGCATCAGGCAATGTGCCAGAGGGTATCACAGTGCACAGTTCTTTAGGAGAAGGGGACTCTGTAACCCTGTCTAGAACTGTTGTCACATAAAATTAGTATCATCCCCTACTGTCACTCTTGTCTCACCTTGGAGGATAAATTATATAATCAAATTATTTAGGAAGCCAAGACAGTGAAGTCCAGACATGCAGCTTTCTGATGGCCTGACTCAATCCAGGAAATATTGATTGACAGCATGATCTTCAAGCATTCTTTAGAATTTCCACTGATTTTGATAAAAACTGAGAAGGAAACAGTTTGAGATATAGTCAAGAGCTCTACATATTCTGTTAGACTGATAAAGAGAGCTGGTCTCTTTAAAAGTCAGCTTACACCAAAAGGTTTTAAACTCATGGACTTAAGGTATTAGATAAGAAAATGATTTTACATTTTATCATTAATTTTCTCCTCTCCATAGTATTGATCAGGTCATACATTATTGGTCACATATTACAGATGCAAAAACTAAAGAAGTAATTTCCTGCTTCTCAGAGGTGGTGCTTGAAATAGAACCCCCGGCTATTTAAATTCAATGTGTGGCTTTTTAGTAATCTTTTCAGGGAATAATAATAATAGTAATGACAACAGCTAGCATCTTTTAAAAAATACTTCCTCTGTGCTTTACTTATCCATTAAAAAAATACAATGTATCAATTGTTTTACTTGGATGATCTTGCTGTATCTTCTGATAACTTTAAGAGGTGAATACTGTTAGACTCCATAGTTCACAGGTGAGGAAACAGAGGTTACGTAACTTGCTCAAGATGACAGCACAAGCAGGATTTAAACCAGGCAGTACAAATCCAAGGGCCGCTCTTATCTCCCAGGCTGTACTACATCTGCAAACTACTTTAAAAAAAATTTTTTTAAGATTAACAAAAAGTAATTTAGTGATAATATGCCACTTTCTTTATGAACAATTTACACTCTCTTTTAAAACAACTCCTTTCATATTTGTATTCTTCAGATTTGGGGAACATTTAAATTATTATATTTTTTAGGAATCTGGGGTATTGGCGTTGCAACTCAGAAAGTTAACTTGAATCAGATCCCCCTTGGCCGAGATGTACACAGTCTGGTGATGAGAAATGATGGAGCCCTATACCACAACAACGAGGAGAAAAACAGACTACCAGCAAACAGCCTTCCACAGGAGGGAGATGTGGTGGTGAGTTTCCTTGTGGACTTGTTTTCCACTGTGAATTATTCAACTTGAACTGCTTTTAGTATTTCTAGTTCTGCCTGGGAGTTTTTGGTCCAAATTCCAGAGCACCAGGATTGGATCTAATGAGGTCGTTCATTTTCCAAAGAGAGCCTTGATGTTGATTCTGCTGCCTTACCTAAATGCCTTCTTTCTAGAGCTGCACTGGCCAGGAAAATCACCATGAGCCCTTATTTCCATTTAGGAGAGTTTATGACTGGTTGGCTACTAGTCAACCTCTCCTGCCACTCTCACATAAAAGAAACCTTGGCCCATAATTTTAAAAGAACACTGACCCTTACGTTAGAAAAGATTAGGTATTTTTGCAGCTGGCGATCTCCCATTTATTACTTAATTTGTTATGAACTTCTGTTAAAGAATTATAGCATTTTTATCAGGAGTGTTGGTCCTCCTTAAACTTAGCCTGGTTAAACTTCCTTCACTTTCAGAACTCTTTCAAGAACTGACTCAAAATCCTAAGGCTTGATTATGGAAAAGTTTTTTTGGGGAAAGCAGGGGATAGAAGGAATTACATATTATGAAGGCTTCTCAGTTTTTATTCCCAATTAGATATATTCAAGTCTTTGCCAAAGTCATCCTATTGAAAATGTAATCCAGAGATCCCTTTCTGTCTTTTTCAGATACTACTTCTCACAGTGTTTTCCAAGAACCTTATACATTGACTTCAGGCCATTAGCTGTTGAGAATAGAGTTTTGGGTCTCCTTTAGCAAGAGTGTCCTTATACACAGTCTTGGGTTCCTAGCTCTTGTACCAAGTTGAAAGGAATCTAAAGAATGAGAGTTTCTAATAATTAGATAACAGATGAGGTAAATCCAGGTTACTGAATTAAAGAAGTATACACTATTTGGGAGAAGGGAAAAAATGATGAGGAAATGAATGAAAGCTTTTGACCATGGTCTGATCTGTCTTCTCTTCAGTTTAAAAAAAAAATTGTGAAGAATAGTTTTTAAATAGGTAAATTATTGACAGTGTTTTTTTCCCCCAAATTAACTAAAGAAAACAAGGAAACCAAAGGCATAAACCATTTTTAAAATCTGCTTTTCCTCGTTCTTCCTTTTAAATAGTTGGTTCTGTTTATAGATCATTGCCAGATGCCCGTAATGTGGAACACCCTATTCAAGGGGTTATTTCCTGAAAGAAAATCTTGAAGTCAAGTTGATGCTATCAGCGTGCTTATACTAAAAAATGAAATTCAAACATAAAGGATAATCAGGGAAACTCCCCGGTGGTTAGGACTCCGTGCTTCCACTGCAGAGGGCACAAGTTCCATCCTTGGTCAGGGAACTAAGATCCCATGTACCGCATGGTGAGACCAAAAAAAGAAGAAGAAAGGATAATCAGTAACAGAAGTTTTTCTTTGATGATGTACTGAACTTGTACTGTGTGTTATTCTTTACTTCCTATCTCATTCCTTAAGATGATTGGTACTTCATATTGACAGATTTAAGAATGTCATTTTTAGTCTGTCAGCATTACTAGATTAGACTTCGAGTTTTTATGCCCATTCTGATAAAAGGAGAGCTCAAAAAATATGAAATATGAGCAGAATTCTGAAAAGTAAAGCATTATCCCACACTAATACCTGTATCTTCCTAGTTCAAACACTTGCAAACAAATTTCACCAAGTTGCTGACAATAGCATAGGAAAACTGGAATGAATTATAAGACAGTAAAAACATTCTCATATGTGTAGAATTTCAGTCACATACCATTCTCTAAGGAAAAAATCAAGAAAAATAAGCTTTCAACATCCAACCAAATGATTATGTTTATGTAATAACCATACAGAATCAGCAGGGCCTACTGTAGCACCAAGCAGGCACACCTGAGGCAGCTTATACTTATTTGTTCCTTTTGTATATAGTTTTGAAAAGTACAGATTACATTTCAAAATTGCAGTTTTCAGTTTAATTTCAGAAAAGATGAAATAGGTCATACTATTATTACCATTTTACAGACCAGAAGTTAAGTAATTTCTTATTCAGAGTGACCCCAGGATTATAGTCTAATTTCAGAGTCTGTTCACCAAACCTGCAAATAATTATTGATAAATCCTTAGCACATATCATGTTTTTGGTATCATTATGAGAGAATCAAACCTAGTATCTAGAACAGATAAAAGGAGAGATTAAGGGAATTTCCTGGCAGTCCAGTGGTTACAACTCCATGCTTCCACTGCAGAGGGCACTGGTTCAGCCCTGGTCACAGAACTAAGATCCTGTGGTGTGGTTTCTCACATCCTTCCTCACTTCTTTCTTTGGTATTTTTGTTGTCTATTCACTAAGTTGTGTCTGACTTTTTGTGACCCCATGGACTGTAGCCTACCAGGCTCCTCTGTCCATGGGATTTTCCAGGCAAGAATACTGGAGCAGGTTGTGATCTCCTTCTCCAGGGGATCTTTGATACTGGGTATTTGGTGTTGTCCCCTGGAGAAGGGAAAGGCTACCCACTCCAGTATTCTGGCCTGGAGAATTCCATGGACTGTAGTCCATGGGGTTGCAGAGAGTCTCACCCACTCACTCACCCACTCCCTCACTGGGCGTTGATGCTGGAGGGTGGGGTTGAGAACTTGCAGTAGGTTATGCTGCCACCAGGTGGGGAGGGCGCCCAGATCATAACCTGTTAGCCTGAACTACTGGGTTTCCAGTAATCCTGTAAAGAGGGTTACATGCTGCTTTTTATGTAATCAGGTTTTTTAAATGAAAACAGATTTCTTCACTAAAAGCGAATCCTGGCGATCACTTTATTATTATATTTAAATATGTAAACTGAAATAAAGCAAAAGCAGTTTTGTTTATCTTTCTCAGTGTTTAGTCTAACCGTGGCTTTGCTAAGATTTAAGGAGAGTCTTTTATAGCATTTAACATGTTGACTTATCTGGGCCTTTGCTGTCTTAACTGGAAAGTGAAGGATTTAAGACTAGATCATCTGTAAGGTCTTTTTCTACCTACAAAAGCTTTTAGGTTTATATAATTTATCCATAGTCAGAAATCCTTCAAGTGGTTGCTTTTTGATCTATGATGATTTCTCTATTCAAAGGTCTCTGCTGTCATTCTTCAAAGGAAAGCTTTCCATCTTCAGCTAGTAAATACCGTACAGAGTTTTAAAGAGTTTTAAAAGTGTAAAAGTCCTTACAAGCTTTGAATTGTGTGGCAATTAAGAATAAGTTTTCCAAAACCATACTTCATCAGTTTAAATTCCAGCTATGCCACTTCCTAACTGTGCAACCTTAAATAAGTTATTTAACCTCTCTGCTTTAGCTGCCTCATCTGAAAAATGGAGATAATAAAAATACCTAGGGTTAAATGAGTAAATATGAAGTGTCTAGTGTTTGGTACATAATACAGATTGTTTTCCAGAATGTCAATAATAATGTAATTTTGTACCATTAATAATATACAAAGTAATATATTTTTATTTTGCTTTCTTTTTAAAAAGTCTTTTGAGCTGTTGTTTTTCTATTTTCCCCTTATACTAATTACCAGTTATATGCAGTTGTAAATACCCACCTTACCTTAGTAATACATTTCACATATTTGAAACCAAGGTAAAGAGATAGAGAAATATATTATTTCTTTTTGAAAATAAATTGTATAAAGACAGTTTACCACAACTGAAAACAATGATAGGTAATAACCCCTAATGGTGAAAACTTCACTGTTTTCCCCTTTCGTAATCAAATTCTACATAAAGCAGTGTTTTCTATGTGAGTACAAAAGGTATCTCTGTTTACAGTATACATAGTACTTATATCGTCTAAATATTCAAAATATAAAACCCAGGTTATCTGAATAGAATACTAGGATTTAGTTTCACCCCTCAAATGTGGACTCATGGGATTTTACCTTTCCCCTCTCCCCACATAATCACCACTACTTTTTTTTAAGCTCAATTCAAATAGAAAAAATCTGTTATGATCTTTTGCTTAGTTTTTTGTTTCCATGCTCCCCAGTTAGTGCTTTCTGACTGTTCAGGTTTTTATGGAACATATATATTTTCCCTCTTTTTAATATTTACTTTGCTTCCTAGGGTATTACATATGACCATGTAGAATTAAATGTATATTTGAATGGAAAAAACATGCATTGTCCAGCATCAGGTATACGAGGGACAGTGTATCCAGTTGTTTATGGTAAGCGAAAATATTTTTAAACATTATTAAATGTATGTTAACTTTTGCTTGGCATTTTCATTAACTTTGTAACTATCATTCAGAAGGCTGGACAAATTAATAAGTACCTTTGTATATGGAGTATACTCAGTAGGTTATCACAATCCCTCTTTGCAGGTCTAAGGAAAGTTTTTATTTCCTTTGTATTTAAAAAATAAACTTGCTGTGGGAGAAGGCAAGGGTGGGATGTTCAGAGAGAACAGCAGTGAAACAAGTATACTATCAAGGGTGAAACAGATCCCCAGCCCAGGTTGGATGCATGAGACAAGTGCTCGGGGCTGGTGCACTGGGAAGACCCAGAGGGATGGGATGGGGAGGGAGGTAGGAGGGGGGATCAGGATGGGGAACACATGTAAATCCATGGCTGATTCATGTCAATGTGTGGCAAAAACCACTACAATATTGTAAAGTAATTAGCCTCCAACTAATAAAAATAAATGGAAAAAAAATTATTACTAAAAGAAAAAAAATAAAAATAAACTTGTTAAATACAGTGATTATTCTTAAATATACAATAGCCATGTTCCCTTTTAGATCATATAGTCTTATATTCCATAAAGTTTTAAAAACTTTACAGAATTTATAAAAAGGTATTCCTGCCAGTTGTTAGAAAGGGTTAGATGAACAGAAAATGTAAAGAATATTTTGAAAGTAGGGATGGGAATTCCATGTGGATTGAGCATTGGTTACCTTTACAAAATCACCTAAGTGTTAAAACTCTTCTGAGAAAAATTATGACTTAGAATGGTTTCGTATTGATTGTTTTGCTTTTGATAGCCATGTATGTGTAAGTATAGTTTCTGTACAAGTATACCTCCAAGAACTGGGTTAGTTAGAGGGATAACTCTGTACCCCTCAGTTACTTTTATTTTATTACAGAGAATTCCAAATGTGTAGAAGTAACCAAAATAGAATAATGAACCCTCATGTACCCATTACTTAACTTCAAACATTTGTCAGCTAATAACCAGACAGGTTTCATCTCATCACTACAGCCCTCTGTTCTTCACCTTGCCTCCTTATATTGTTTTGAGGCAAATGCCAGACATTATACCATTTTATTCTAAAATATTTTATATGTATCCCTAAAAAATAAGGTGTCTCTCTTTATAGGAAACATACATAAGTACAGTGCCTTTATCACTCTCTTCATTTTTTGTGTTATCTACTTTAAATCAACAAGTGTATGATTTTTCTGCCTGTGGTATTAGTGGATCTCGAAACATTTTCTCATTTAATTACTTTAAATAATTAAGGATTTGAACCATAGCAAAAACTAATTGTTAACTTTTTTATAGTAACTTACCAGAAAAGTAACAGACTTTGTTCAGGATGGCAGAAAAGTATACAGTAGCCAATATAAATATTTAATAATTTGATATAACAACCAAAGCCTGTGCTTTAAAGTTTTCATTTTTCTTCTTTTTCCCTAAATACTACTTTTCAGTGCTTCTACCTTCTTTGTCTTTTGCATGATAGGTGTATTTTTAAACTTGATACAAGTTAGTTTGCTTCCTGTATTTGGTAACCCTAAAAGTAATGTCTTTATTTACTTAAATAAATGGAAATATAGCTTAATATTTGAAATAGTTTAGTAATATCAGTAAAATTTTAGACTGAGTTACACAAATGAAGATAACAAATGAGATTTTTATTCTAAATTGTTTCTTTGATTTGGCAGTATTTTTAATGCAGTGAAGTTTATGTAGTAATATATTTTATAAATTGAAATTAATAAATCAGTCCAATTAAATCAGATATTTGAATAGCCAGATGCTATCAAAGATAAAAATAAAATTCGAATTCCCTTACCCTTTGCCTTCTATCCTATCCCCAATCCTAATTCTTTCCAGTTGTTCATACTGTCAGTCCTTATATTCAACCTGTGGAGAGACAAAACTGAGTAACAGTGAAGAAGAGTGTTGTTCACAGTTAGGACCTCCAGCTTCATCTAAGTTCTCTGTGTTTTTTACATCTCTGCACCTTCCAGACTTACGTCATTCTTGAATTCCCTGTTCATTCTCTGTAAATCCATCTTCCACTTTATAGAGAAACAGTCTATCATGGTGAACTCCAGCTTCCCTCCCCCACCTCCTAACGGTTTTCTCTTCCAATCTTGTCTCCTTCCCATCCCATCTTAGAGAAGTGCCCTTCATGTTCCAAAAACTCAGTCTAGATTTCGAACTTCCCAATTCTGGGACTTTATTGTCAGTTATTTCATCTGTATGTCATAGTCATCAACCTCATTCTTCAATGCCTGTAAACATTCTAAATCATTCTTATTCCAAAATACCCTCCCTTAAACTTGTACCCCTCACCAGGCCTGGGTTTACCCTTCTCTATATGGCTGCATTTCCTATAAAACAGCTTCCGTCTCTGTTTATATTGTATCTTCAACTACTGCGGCTGCCTTTACCACTGCTTCACTGAAACCACCTCTGTTAAAAAATCACCAGTGATTTCATGAATGTCCCATCCAGTGCTTAACTTTTTTCCTGCATTGATAATAAAATATAAACTATTTAGTAATGTGCATTAAACATATATATGCAACTTAACAAATAGCTATAAAGTGAAACCCACATCATCACTATAGTCAAGATAATGAACATATTTGTCACCCCTAAGTTTCCTCCTGCCGCCTTGCCATGCATTCTGCTCACCTCTCCCCACCCCACCCCCCTTGTAGCCACTGTCTGCTTTCTGTCACTACAGATTATCTTACGTTTTTAGATTATTGTATAAATAGAATCATACAATTTGTATTTTTTTAATCTGGCTTCTTTTACTCAGTGTAGTTAAGACTCATCCATGTTGTAACATGTAGCAGGAATTCATTCATTTTTGTTACCAAGTAGTATAGTTCATTGTGTGGATATATCACAATTGATTTTTCCCTTCACCTGTTGTTGGATATGTAGGTTGTTTCCAGTGTTGGACCATTACAAATAAAGCTGCTGTGAACATTGATGTGCAAGTCTTTGTGTGGATATATGCATTCATTTCTCTTGGATAAATACTGTTTAAAAAAAAAGCAAAACAAAAAAACATGTAGAAGCTGAATAAGGCCTGCAGGCTAATTAAGAGTATTGTATCAGTGTTAGTTTCCTGGTTTGGACATTGTACTGTAGTGGTATGAGATGTTACCACTGGGGGAAGCTGGACGAAGATTACCCTGGACCTTCTGTATTGTTTTTGCTACTCTTTGTGAATCTATCCTTTTTAAATAAAATATTTTTTAAGAAGTAATTTATCTTAATGTATAAAATTGAGAAAATACAGGTAGGTAAATAAGGAAAAGTTCAAATTACGTGTATTTACATCATCTAGAAATAATCATAATATTTTGATGTATTTCCGTTCAGTGTTCTTGACAGATTTTATTGTTCACTGTGGCTGTTTTTACCCAATAGGATCATGTTTTGTAATCTGGATAGCAGATGTGTTTCTTCTTCTTGAGAATTAATTTTATGGCATTGTGGAAACAGTTTATAAATATGTACTCATTCAATTTAAGGTGTTTGCTTCTAATTTATTTTCTTTCTTTTTCTCTCTCTAGTTGATGACAGTGCAATTTTGGATTGCCAGTTCAGTGAATTTTATCATACTCCTCCACCTGGTTTTGAAAAGATATTATTTGAACAGCAGATCTTCTGAATGTATTTGTTTTTGAAACTTGTATTTCTGCACTGTTGAAAGTGTTTACCATTTAATAAAGCTTTACCTGACGTATACATGAAAATATATTCTTAAAAATATGCTTGTTAGTATTGTCCAAGGAACCAGTGAATACACTATACCACCCTGAAGTTGTGATTTAAAATACTTAGGTTTTGTGATATGAAATCAGCATTTGGGGTGGTTTATTTAACTCTTATTTAAATAAATATAACTGTGGGTTTAATTAACAGTATTAAATGGAAATATGTATATAGATATTTAAAAGGGAGTCTTTCTTAATGTAAAATATTTGTATTGATAGAGACAGAGTCGGGTGGGTTTTTTGGTCATTCTGATGTTTAGACCTCATGAACTGTTTTAAGTCTGCAGTCCAATAATTTTGTGTCTCAGTGTCTTTTTTATATAGAGTATAACAAAGTAGCAAATTTATATTATTGGCAACTTCAGTTTTGGCAATTTATTTACTGTAAAATGTACCACTTTAAAAATGTTAATTGCTTGTTTTGTTTGTATGCTGTTGTTTTTAATTTTCTTTGTGAAAGGAGATAAATGTGGTAGTAACTATTGGAGCATTTTGTTGAAGACCATCATGCTGTGTTACTTCAATACCTGAGTAAGTAAGTAGTGGTTGACTGGTGACATAGTGTACACAGCAGACATTTAGAATAGTATGATGCCTTCAGTTTAAATGGAAATGAGATTATTATTTTAAGGATTTTAATTTAAATGTGCATTTTTCTGTAAGGAATAAAATAATAGTAATTAAGGACTATTCAGTACTATATTAAATACATGTTCTTCCTGTTTTGTTTTACACTGTAAATTCACTTTGCCCTTGACTGTTTCAGAAGTTAGAAATAAGTGAATCCTCTTCATGACCCTGACTGAGCCTTTGCTTAGTTTTCAGGAAGAATTGCTATCCTTTAAATACTACCCTACAAAGCTGAACAAATCACTGTCCGTATCTTTGGGACAGTCTCCTTTCCAGATAGGCCAGGCCAAGGATTCATGCATTTCGCTCATTTATCAACATGGAAGAGTATGTCGTACCAGAAAAACATGGCTTAGGAATCAAAGGAGATCCAAATTGTAGTTTTGCCACCTGATCCCATTATTTCCTCAGGCAATTTCCTCAGTTTCTCTGGATGCAGGTTCCCCATTTATAAAAGGGATAGTCATACCTTATTGGTAAGATTCTGTGACTGGTTAAGATTACATATGCAAAACACCCTCATCATCATCCACATGTAATGAATGCAGTGTCTTTGTTGACTGCACTCAGTGGTTTTCATAGTGTGGCTCTTAGCCCAGCAGCATCAGCCTTACCTGACAACTTGTTAGACGTGGACACTCAGGCCCCACCCCAAACCCATGGAATCAGAAACTGCTGGGGACGCACCCAGGAATCTGTTGGAACAAGCCCTTGAGATGATTCTGATCCACGCTAAAGATTGAGAACCACTGCTCAGGAGAGAATTCTTTGAGAATGATTGCCTACTATAAATTTTCTAAGGATTTAAGACTATTGTTGACACATAGATAAGAGAGTCCTGCACAATATTTATTTATTGTTTATTTGATAAAAATATAACAATTATTTTTAAAACATAGATATATTTGAGTAACATATTTACATAAATCCCAAATTTAACTCTGTAGATACACAGAATTGAACTAACTTTATTATTTATGTATTTTTGCCTTTCTGACCTTGTAATTTTAATTAGTAAAGAACATGGTTATTTCAGAAAGAGATTTAATACAACTACTGCTTGTGTTCTTTATAATGTTACCTACCTCCAAATTATTTTTTTAGAGCTAACCTTTTTTTTTTTTAATGATCATGTTCTTTTCTCAAGACTATCTTTGCTACCTCTAATCATACTGAATAGGTACAGTACTAAAATTGGTATATGAGTTATGTCCATGACAACAGTTTGATGAAGTCTAGATGTGCTTTTAATCTCTAGCTATCTAATTTCTCCTAGGAAAATTACCTATAACCTCAGTCTTACCTTGAGAAAAACATCAGATTCATAAAGGGGCATCCTACAAAATACTTGAGCAGTACTCTGAACTGTCATGGTCATCAAAAACAAGGAAAATCAGAGACACTCACACCCCAGGGAGCCTAAGGAAACATAACAAGTCAATGTAATGTGCGAACCAGGTACAGAAAAGGATATTAGGTAAAAAATAAGGAAATCTAAATACATCATGGACTTTAGTTAATGTATCAATATGTTTATTACTTGTAGTAGATGAACCATAAAAATGTAAGATGTTATTAACGGGGGAAATTGGAAGAGGGGACATATGGGAACTCTGTACTACTGTCTCATTTTTCTGTGAATCTAAACTGTTCCAAAAAATAAAGTCTCTTTAAAAACCTACATTCAGCTAGAAGAAAATTAAAGCCTTTCTTGAAGACAATAGAACATTAGTATGGTATATACTTATAGCATAAGTATTCAGTGATAGCTAAATATAGACATAGATGGGACATAAAACATCCTTGTATTTTAACACACAAAAACCTGCATTTGTTCCTGGCTGAAGAGACTGTCCATTGTCTTGATTCTGTTTCTCACAGAAATCCACTTGTTCACACTGATGTAGCTTTTTATACTCACATTGAAAATTAGTCAGTGACTTATTATCCATGTTATTCTTTCAATGATTTAAACATTGCAAGGGACTTGCAATGACGGATACATGAAACAATGAAAATATCATAAATAATAAGTTTTCATTATTAAAAACCAGAAAAAGATACTGGCTTTTAACTGCTGTCAGCTCACTGATTAAGATTATTTGAATATATTTTCCACTTGGATTACAAGCTATTATCATTTAAGAATGATACAAAATATAATTTAAGGCTTTTAAAAATCATTAACAAAAACAGAAACGTGTATGATAGTGTTGCTCACATCTTCATTTTTTCTTTTAGCTGCATGTTTACTTAATGTAAGTCTAGGTATTGACCAGCAAAAGCATAGCTGAAAATGTGAGTGAAATCTTAGACTATTTTTGATGAGCTACATTAAATCAATAATTTCTTTTGATAATGTAAAAACACTAGATACTGTGAGAAGAAAATTTGTCATCAAAACTGTGGAAACTTCCCTGTACTCATAGTGAAAGTGAAAGTCGCTCAGTTGTATCCGACTCTTTGCAACCCTGCGGACTACACAGTCCATGGAATTCTCCAGGCCAGAATACTGAAGTGGGTAGCCTTTCCCTTCTTCAGGGGGTCTTCACAACCCAGGGACTGAACCTAGGTCTCTTGCATTGCAGGCAGATTCTTTACCAGCTGAGCCTTAAGGGAGGCATAGTACTCATATAAGTGGAATGTAATTAACTACCACTTATATTAATTTCCATTATTTATGCAATCTGATAGAGAAATACTTCGGAGCAAAACGGGCTGTTCTCATGAAGGAATGGAAATATAATAGAATCAATTAATTCTCATTTAGTAGGATATGAATGTCCTTCAACTTGTTCTTTTTAAAACAGGACCAAATTATTGAAATAATCAGTATAAACAGCAATGTTAGATACAATTAGCAATATAAATGAATCACATACCATCCAAGACTTCTATAGAAATTTGAAGGACAAACTGTCCCAGTATTGGCTGAAATGCATAATCTGTAAGTCCATAGGAATCATTTACAATGTAGTCATTCAAAGATTGAATCATTTATGTGTTGTGGTTCATAAATACTTAAACACAATATTCTGTGCCCTCAAGGAACTCTGCTAATTGTAATTCATTCATAAATATGGCTCTACAACACCCAAGATATATTAGTAAAAATTTTCCCATAGAGCCATACTTATGAATGAATCATTTTTTGTATCATATTTATGAATGAATTACAATTGTATGTATAATATGATCCACAGTCTGGTAGGTGGGACCTCACTCTTTCACGGCTGGGGCCTGGGGTTCAATCCTGTCAGGGAACAAAAATACATTCCTCAAGTGTGGCATGGCCAAAAAACAAAACAAAACCCCAAAGGCTTATGTATAGGAAAAAATATATAGTATACACCAAAATGGGAATAAGATTACAGGGAACTAAGTCTTTCATTGCAAATTTATCTGATAATTTTTTTTTTTTTTTTTACAATTAGCATGCTATTTGGGGAAAAATAGTTTTAAATAAGAGAAAAGAAAAGTAACTCTGGAGGAAGCTCTGTGCACTAGAGAACAGGGGATTTTACATTCACACTGAAAAAATCTAAAAGGCTGCAGTAAAATCACAACTCAAGTACAGGATATAATGTATTTCATGACAATTCATCTTAAAAGATTCAGAAATTTTAGTTGATGCCATGGCTGGCACCACTATAGACCGGGTCACTAGGCCCATGGAAATAAGTGAGAGGGAAGCCACACGTGGAGCAGACCAGTTCCAGCAGACACTGCACTTGAAATCAAGGACAGGGATAAACCACTGAAGACCACCAGCCTGCTTGCTGAGCGGCTGCTTAATCAATCCATGCATCCATAAATAAATGGTCATTGTGTATGTTGGGAATGTTGGAAGACTATTTAATCCACTGAGCTATTGAAACCAAAATGACTTGTGAAATACTAGTCATTTGAAGGAGACTAGAAATAAAGCCCCCCAAAATCTACAGATTTCACGTGTGTGATTCTCACACATGTATTTCAGCAAAGACAATCATAGATGTGTTTCAGATATCTGATGGTCATCTCTTTAAATAATGGGTAGATTTGTTTGTTGTCCTGCAGGCAGAGTTATCAGAAGGTACAGGGAAGCAGACTTCCATTTAAGATAGAAAAGAACTTGCCTATTTAGTTCACTACTGAAACTGCTGCCTTGCAAAGAAATGAACTTCTGGTCCCTGGAATTGTTTTAACTGGTGTTTTTTAAAATGTAAGTTTTGTCCTTATTCAGGTATGGTGAGCAGGGGACTACTGCCATTGAAAAAAGATAGTTTGTTACGGTTCCGAAGAGGAGAGGGCACGCCATGCCACACAGGGATCCACAGGTAAGCATCAGAGTTGGTCAGGAGGCAGAAGAGGAGAGGGCACGCCATGCCACACAGGGATCCACAGGTAAGCATCAGAGTTGGTCAGGAGGCAGAAGGAGCAGGGGAAGGTGTGGGCCTCAGCCCCTGTGGTTCCCAATGGCAAGGCAGGGTTAGCACACTCAAGATTGTGTGCTGTGTGTGTTCAGGCGCTCAGCCGTGTCTGACTCTGTGCAACCCCAGGGACTGTAGCTCTCCAGGCTCCCCTGTCCATGGGATTCTCCAGGCAAGAGTACTGGAGTGGGTTGCCATTTCCTTCTCCAGAGAATCTTCCCGACCCAGGGAAGAACCAGATAGAGAAAGTGGGGGCTCTGGTTTGGTTGGTTTGCAAATGAAAGGCAGGTTCTGGGGTGAGTTGTTTGCTGTCTCTAGGAATTAACTAACCCTGAGTGCAGCAGTCCTTCCTCTGACAGTAAGGCTCCAGGAAAGCATCAGGAATACAGAAATAAGAAAATATAATTAATACAGAAGCTAGAGGACTATCCCAGAGACATAAATAGGGCTCCTCCTGTGTTAGAGACCGAACTAGATGCTTTCTAAAACTCTGTGATTCCGATTCACTCAGACTATTGCTGAGTCTCCAGACAAGTTAAACTGAAGGCAAGGAAATAGGAGATGTGGAATCTTCAGGGATTATGTAAGGATTCGTCACATTAAAATTCGTGTTAATTCTGGAAAGCGGTGCTGCTGTGTGCTCAATTGCTGAGTCAGTCGTGTCC